CAAGGTGCAGAAGGCGATCAATGCCGGCCAGTCGGAGCCTCCCGCGCCATTCCGTGACCCGTTCGTCTACGTTAGTGACGAGAGGGTGAGGACGGTTCTTGATGGTCGTCAACCTGAACCGCTAAACGTGGACATCGAGGGACTTCAGTCGGTGCATCATGCTGCACCAGGTCCTAGTCCCAAGCAGGAGCCGGTCATCAAGGGCGGAAAAGGGAAGAAAGGGGAGAAGGGCGGTAAGGGCGGTAGTCCTTCCGGCCCACCACCAAAGTCAGGCGGAGTGACAAGTGCAGGAGCTGGCAAGGGCGGTAGCCCATCTGTCCCGAAGGCAAAAGCAAAGGACGATGCTGGACCAGCTCCGATGGAGGTTGATGCAACTGCAGCTCAACCGAAGAAGACCTGGGTCGAAATGGCGGTTCAGGGAGCCCGGCCGAGTGCAAAGGCCAAGATGACCCCGGTTCCGAAGACCGAGACAAAAGGGAAGGCCACTTCAGTAGCTGAGGCGAAGGATGCTCCGGCTCCGAAGGCTAAGGCTGCGGAGACGAAGCAGGCCGAACCGAAGGTTGAGGTCAAGAAGGAGAAGATGAGCGGTGTAGACGCTTCCGGCGGTAGCCGGGGGTCGGCTGAAGGGCAGAAGAGAGAAAGGAGGTCCCGTTGGGATCCCGACGAGACTGTGAAGGAGTCGACGAAGCGGGAGGCATCAACAAGGCCTGATGACGTCGACAGCAGACCAGGTGCGGCGGCGAGAGAGGCCAGTGGGGATGATCTTCACTCTGCGCTTGGTAGATCTTCGGCAAAGGATGCAGTAGCACCTTTGACGGCCTCCAAGGCGATGGCAAAGAAGCCTGAAGGCGGGGAGATCCGGTTGCAGTCTGCTGAGCGAACTGCGGCGAGCCCGGTGGAGGGTCACTTTCTGGTGTTGCCTGAGAGTTCGGTGGTGGATGCTCTCTTGTCGGTCTCCACCAACAGGGTGCTGAACAAGCAAGTCAGGGACTTCATCAGAAATGGTGAGGATGCGTCAGCACTGGAGGTCCTCAACCAGATCGTGACGAACTCTCGTTCTGGGAGGAGGCGTAGGGAATCGGATGTTTCCCGTACTCCCTCTCGGAGGTCCGTTAGGACTGTGGACACCAGGGATTCCAGAGAGTCGAGAAGGCGCAGATACCGTCCACGGCGCGAGGATGATCGTGACCGGAGGAGGGACGATGCTCGTGATCGTCGAGATGATGAATCACTCGATCGGGAGCGAGATCGAAGGCGAGATGATCGCAGGAGGTCCGAAAGGGATCGTGACAGGGACCGTGCGCGGGGCGGACGTGACCGGAGGAGACGTGACGATAGCCGGTAGGCTGAGTCACGAGGATTGCGGCCGGTAGGCTTGCGTCCATTCTCCAATGGTCGGCGCGGTGCGGAGGTGGTGTTGCTCCTCCCGGACCGCTGAGGCGCGGAGGTCATGTCACTCCTGTACCGCTGCTGGGCTGCTGGACGTGTTCATCAGGAAGCAGTGTGAGTGAGAGGGAAAGCAAACTGATGGGGGGGTTACTCCCGGGTTTGCGGAATTCAAGCATTTTTCGGGTACGCATGGCCAGGAGCACCTCTTGCCGTTAGGCGAGAGTGCTGAATGGACATTCGTTATCTTCTTTTTCATGGCTTCTGATAAGAATTAAACTTCTTGCATTGTTGATGCAAACAGTTGTGACCTAGTGTCGTCATGTGGACTTTTCCACAAGGTATGTTGGACAGCGTTACCCCGATTAATTCGGGGTGGTGGCGGGAATTTAATGCCCGGGATGTCGCGCAACTGCCTTTGTGGGTTTGCTCCACCGCTGACGGCGGTAGTGTCCAGCTGTTTGCGGACGCATGCGAGCAGTTAAATCCTATCAGTAAATGGCACGCTCCACCCGTCATATGACGGGCTCCTCGTGAGGGGGGTGTGATTAGCCATGGTTCATATCATCATCAGGGACGTCGCGTTAGTGACCGACCTGTGGTGTTTTGGCTCAAGTTTTGGATCCGGCGCGCCTCGGATGAGCGTCGCCGGGCCCTCACGTCGACCGCCTTCGTGTCGGAGGAGAAAGAGACTTCGGCCCGGGGTAGGTTGGTGGGGATCGCCCGTGCGGTTCATCGTCGATCTAGGTTGCGGGTATCCTTTTCTACTTTGGTTTGTTTTCCTTTGGTTGTTGTTCTCTGGTGTGTGGGAAACCCTGATCTTTGGGACCGGGGATTGGTTTGCTTTTAGGGAACCTTTCTTTTGTGGCTTGTTTACCCCAACTAACCCATTGCCTGGGCACAGGCTCGTGCCCGAATCACACCCTGCTTCTTTTACATTATGTCTCAGGTTGTTACGTCGTCGCTGATGGGTCATTTGCAGGAGGCAAGGCGGCATGAAATTCCAGGCTTGCAGCTCCTTTCCCGTGCCAGGCACCCGGACTCTTGACCTTTTGCTGCAACTTCTTCGCTCGCCGGGCCAAACGCTGCTTGCCACGCACTGGCGTCACGCCTTTGCTCCCGACTCCGTCTCAGTTTCTGAGCCTCTCCGTCGCTCCTTTGCTTTCTCACTTTCAGACCTTCAGGCCAACTTGTGACCCTGACTGCCCAAAGTCATGTCCAGCGTTGCCTCAAGTGGATATTGGTAACAGATAGCATGATTTATATTTGTCAAACATGGTGCAAGCACACTCCGAGCCTTGCCAAAGCTGTTTGTCTACGTTCGCCTCTTGGATTTGACAGGTTTGCTGCCACCGGCGCTAGCGGTAATCTGCTCCTCCGCACTGGCACTGGCGCTGGTGGCTCCGCAGTGGGACCCCCGTGCGGCGCCGCAGCAGATTTGGACGAACTGATCGAATAAGTACAGATTCAGCAGATGAGTTTGATATAGCTTGATATCTTGATGCGGATCGTATGGCGTATGCGAACATGGCATGGCGATACCAGAAGGAAACATGAAGCCGAGCATCCAGCGGAGTCCCTTGTTCTGTTGCAGTCCAATGTGGGGCCGTGAAGACAATCAGGGATCCATTCAAGAAGCCATCAAGAAGTAAGACATGTCAACATATGTTGAAGCAAACAAGTCCTACTGAAGGGCCTTGTGTTTGGGGGTGACGGCCCCAGACGCAACATTGGGGCTATTTGCCTTGAGATTCTGCTTTCACTTGGCAGATTGCGTGCCCGACATTGGGACCTCGGGCAGCCAAGGAGCGCTTCTTGCTTGTGGGGATTTCTGGCACGTTGCCTGGCTCAGAGGGCCTGTCTCAAGCCTGAGCATTCATTCGTGTTCCGCGTTGCATGAGGTTTGCCAACGCAAACAACTGGCTGGTCTATGAGCGTGACTTGCCAGACACTGTCCATTCGATCTTGTCACGCTTCAGTCATCAGATGCCCCCCGAAACTTCAGTCTTTAAGGCGAACCACGGCAGTTGCGGTTGACCATTGGAGTGTTTTGGGGAGAGCTGAGGGGCGGGAATTTTGTGGGATATCTCTTGCGAGAGCTAGACAGCTCTGTTTGCTTTGCCAAATACAGAGTATTCACACTGCAGTATCACGAGACAGCCTCGTCATCATTCTTATCCTGGTCTATTTTTGCGCGTGACCCTGATAGATCCAGGGTAACCAGTGTTCCTATTCAGAGGGTCCCTCCGAGGCCCAAGTCGGACAGGAATCCCTTTCATTTTCTGAGGGATTCCAGCAGCCCCTTCAGCAGGGGCCAAATTTGTGCTGTTCGCTGGTGTTGCTTGCCAGCTTCGCAGATTAGAATCAGCTCACAAGGAGCAGACTTTTTGGAGCTACCAAGATCCTGACATGCCAGGTCAACCATGTTCACGTTGAATGCTTTCATGCCTCCGTTGGGACGCTGCTGGGGATGTTGCCCTAATGCAAAAGGCAAAAGTTCGCACATGAAGTGTGGGCACTCATCCTGAATTCCTCGACCTTAAAGCACAATGGAAATGGCCACATTTTCCCGAGCCTCCAATACTTTGTACGTATCTTACATATTCGATTTGATGTTTTCTTTTTGTGTGATTGGGGCAGTATGAGATGGCTTGCTCAGTGTTGCTTGCTTAGGTGATGACTACATGGCGCCATGTCAGCAATTTGTCACCATGGAAACCAACCAGCCAGGGGTCCTTTGAAACAGGCTGGCGCTCGTTCATGAAGCCTCGTGGATTGGGGCAGGTTCTTTCTCAATTTGATCGCTCCGTACTTGAAATTCAGAAAGTGCAAGATTGCAGAGGCCACGCTGGAATTGCAGGTAAGACACGGCACACGCTACGGCACACGCTTCCCTGCGCACACTACACATGTCCGATTAGAGTCACAGAAGCCAGCCAATGGCGAGAGCTCGAAGCGGGAAAGGTGTTAACCAGAGCCATCCGGGTACACTGCCATGTGCACTCCCAGGATCTCTTCAGCAACGACGTGCACACGTACAATCCGTTTTTGCACCTTTGGTCTTTGGGCGTGGAAGAGCAGTTGGGCGCTCAGGCTAAGGAGGTCTTGAGGTCTTGCCAAGGGCATAAGCGGCATAAGGTGTGATCAGTGGTCTTGTGAGGTTTTACTTGGTAGCGCCGGGACTACTCCATCGCAGCATTAAGGCTTTGGAATCAGGCCGCTTGGCGGGCAGCTTCTCAGCCCAGGAAAGCAGTGAGGGACATGGTATACATGTAAGGCTGAAGATCGCTCTAAGGAGACAGTACGCAGATGTGGATTCTCCTCATCCTTTCCGGGGTAAGCATCCTGTTTGGATGGTGGATCGACCAGGCGGCGTGTCTCCCATCCATCGCACTCCATGCATAGGGCAGCGCGCAGCACAAGTGACGTATTGGAATGCAAAGGCGAGACCCACGAAAGGGCCAGCGCCTTCTTTTTTCCTGCATGTAACCGACCTGCCGAGTAGCTCATTGATCACACTATGGGAAGGGCCTTGAGATGGATTCAGACAGGTTCGATTCCGCTCCAGCCAAGAGAGACAGCTGACATGTAGCCAAGCTGCTAAACCCACCCGGTTCTTCCTGAAAGGTTAGGCCACGGTTAGGCTTTCTCCGCGAGCCATGCTTCGGCTGGTGCTGGCGCTGAGCCTTGCGCTGGCACAGGAGTGCCCGTTAGGCGAGGGCACCTGCAGCAGTCAGCCGACCACAGGCCGGGTCCCGTGCATTGCTCTTGCCATTTGCCATCTCATGCCACGAATGGGCTAAACACGGGTAAAAACTTGGCACTTTTGGCAAGGCCTTCTTCCTGTGCCTGAGTGCGAAGAAGACTTGGAGTTGAAGGACTTCGTCGAACGGGGCAAGGCTTTGTGTAATCCTCGGCACCTGCCGGAGAGCCTGCGGCCACCCAAGAAGGTCGCGGGCTTGTACTGGCTGAAGGGACTTCCACTGCCCGATGTTGCAGCATGCTTCAGCATCTCGGCGTACGGCGACCTCCGGACATCTTGTGCCGAGAGAGTGCAGCTGAGGCACTGGAGAGTGGAACCAGGCCACCTTGACCTTGAAACTCATGGTTTGGAAGGACGGAATTGAGATTGAAAACGCAGTCTCCGTTTTCAGGCGTCCTAGGCACCCCAGGCAACACACCTTCAGATCGATATGAGATCGATGCCGGGAGGACTTCTTTTTCAAGAACGACTTCACCGGCCGCAGCCTGGCTGCGTCGGTCTACCAGACCGGGGCCTACTACCTGGTGAAGTACAAGGACTCGTGTAGAAGCGGGGGTCGTAGCTGTGACGGACCCTTTCCCCCCCCCCAAGAATAGTAACACTACGTTTTCGCCCAAATCTGATATCACGGTTTCGACTCAACGAATTCACAAAACCACACAGCAATGGACCATGTCCCTCTAAAAAAATTACACTCCGTTTTCGCCCAAATCTGAAATCTGTGTTTCGCCCCAACGAAACGCACAACACCACACAGAGTTGCCCCAATAGCGCGTCTTTCTGTGACCCTCCAACAACAAAAGTGTGCTGTTCCCTGCGATTCAGCCCGGAGTGACCTTGAAACAACAACAAAAACAGCGGCGCTTCCTCGAGGCTTCGTAACGTGTCGTGGTCGTGTCGACTTCATGAGGACGAGACGCTCTCAGAGGCAGACATCACGCCACATGCCTCGCGATTGGCTTCGCCGGCAGCCCTGGCCTTTGCTGCTATCAGCTTCTCGAACAGGAATTCTGAGCATGAGTGTGCCGAAGGACGCGGTTTGTCGTACATGCGGACAGGCTGCAAATGTGCCCATTGACGTGCAGCTGTGTTGTTTGTACTGAGCTAGCAGAATGATCCTATAGGTTCTTTTCCGCTCGTGGAGCAGACTGGCCTTACAACACCTGGCAGCCGCTACACTCGGCCCTCCTACTTCGGCATTGCGGACTACAAGGCCTTGGGCCAAGCTTTTTTTCGGCGAATATTGCAGTCACTTGCGGTCAGTTCCAGTCAGTTGCAGTTTGTGGCTCATATTTCCCAAGGTCCTGACCAGCGAGTACGAGGCTTGGAAGATCCTCGATGCGGATCTGCAGCCTGTTCCTGATAACGTGGCCACGATGATGAAGCTTCTGCCCCTGGGACTCAATGAACTGCCGGCATTGGATTCGCATTCTTTTGTCGGAGCCCGAAATCTGTGGAAGCGTGGAATGTGAATTTTCAGGGTGCCATAGCTTGCCGGGGGCGATTCGCGAGTCTGAGGCCCAAGAAGATCGGGGACAAGCACGTAGTGAAATACTCCGAGGGACCCTGCGGTGAAAAGTCCCAAGATTCTCGAACAGGCGATGGAAGCTGCCAGGGCTTCTTCCTGGAGCTTGCGAGGTGGGGAATTCAAAGGAATCGGACCCGCGCTAAGCGAAGTTTATGCTAACCATGAACTAGAATGTGTGGTGTTTGGTGTTGTTTCAGCGTTGGTCATATATTTTTGTGGTGTGTTGGCGGTGTGTTATGGTATTTGGGTGGTTTGTTGATGGTCGAGGGCGCGAAGGTGCAGCTTCGCAGTCTCTCCGCATCTATCCGTATCCGTCCGTATCCCAAGGCAGCCACAGCTGGGGCTGCTCCATGAAGAGAAGGAGTTGAAGATTGCGCACGTGACGACAAAAGGCTGCCACGCAGAGTACTCCGTGATTTGCCTGGAGGGCGTCTACGAGGCGCACGAAAGCGCAGCGCTTTTCTGCTCATGGGAACTGTCGTATAGACGTATAGACCATTTTGCTTGGCTTTGATCCCATCGGACTTCCGATTCCGAAAGTTTCACACCAGAGGTGAAGGAGTCCCACGTCTGCACCAGCGGCACCTTCGAGGGACCTGCAGCAAAGAGCATCCAGCACAGCTGGGAGCTTTGCTCTTCTCAGGCGCGAAATGTCTTCGGGACATGGGGTTTTTGTCTGCCCCCGGGCTTCCGTGCTGGGTCCGGTTAGGTTTGCGTAGAGATCGACAGGCAGGTTTGCGTGAGCTTGGCCTAGGATCAGAAGGTTAACCTGCTAAGCTCTGTCGTGGACTTGACCTGGGATGTGGAGATTCCGCCGAACACACGAGTTGAAGGCGCGGGAGGGTCGAAAGACATCGTCAATGTGCGCACACGTCTTCACAGTGTCGCTTTGTATGACGACCTGTGCTCGCATCTCTTTGTCCAGGCTGTGTGCGCATCTCTTTGGCGGATGAGTACCCCGAGCTCAGCAAGGTGCGAGGCACTATGGAGCAGCAGCGGCAGGTGCGGAATGCCAAAGTCGGACTTCAGAGTTCTGAAATTTCCAGCTAACTAAGTTGGGTGCCGTCTGCAAATTTTGCTGGTTCTGCTTTAACGTGCGTGCACACCAGTAGGCACCAGCCAAAGATGCTCACTCTCGAGCCAGCCTTCCAAATTATGACTGCTCTTTGTTCTCCACATGACATGCAAGAGTTCTTCTCCGTGACAGGGGTGAGACGTGTCCACAGCAATCGCGTGCTTTGTTCAGGCACTCGTGGCCAAGAAGAAGGAAGCCTCTTGGCAAGCGAGGGCTGGCAGCTTCGGCCTGTGACGTGCGACATCCGTGTTTTCCTCCGGCAAACACTTTGCCAGCTTTATGCTGTTGCCATCTGCAATGTGTTTCAGCACAAAAGCTATTTCCCCAGGAAGAGCCCCCAACACGAGCAACTGACACGTTCCATCAATCTGTTCCCAAAGGATATAACGTTGAAGGTTGCAATCTCATTTGAGACACAAAGCAACTAAGCGAGCCGAAATGTTGGGGGAAGCACGCACACACACACACATGGACAGGGAGGAACACGCAGATCAATTGGTTTTCTTGTTTCTTGCGCGCAACACAGAGGAGCACGCACACGACACGATGGTGACAGCACGAGGTGGGTGGCTGCCCGACCTTCCGCACCACCAGCGACCGCCTGGCCAGGGCCAGCGACTTTGAAGGCAGCGGTTTGACGGGCGTGGTGTCCAGGCCGGGAGAGCACAGCGACCCGCGGGGACCCGCAGGGACCCGCAGGGACCCTGTGGGTCGCGGGCTTTGAGGGCAAGGGGCGGTCGACAGACAGTGCAGCTGCAACTTTGGCACTTGAAGTGCAGTGACACGTCGCTGACGTTTGGAGGGTTGTTCGCAGGGTGTTCAATGCATGAGGGAGCTGATGGATCGCTAGACGTTTGCATGGTAGATTGCATGTACCAAACAGCAAGTCATATTTCGCAGCGGGCATTGTTCCAGTTTTTTTTTTTTTTTTTAATCTTTCCAAGGCAGTACCTGAAGCTGGTGCAGAAGGAGCTGCCTCAATCAGAAAGGTGATTATTTTGGTCGGAAGTGAAGTACGACTTGGACTGAGTGGAAAGGGGCAGCTTGCGACCGAACGGCAAGGATACACGTTTGTTGCATTTGGCATGCTTGACCCAGAGTGCCTAGCAGGAGTTGTCTACACGAGCTCGGCTTTGGACACATACATCACCCTTGAGCAGCAACGAGCCTCTTGCTCTTGATTGCAGAAGTGCACAACAGAAATAAGTTGAAGTTCCATGACAGCAACACTTGGGACCATCTAGAAGCCATGCTTCAAGTTAAGTAGGGATTGGCGAGGCGCCCCAAAGCAATGCCACGCAAGAAGGAGTGAAACAATGATCGCTCTGAATATTTGTGATCTTCGGGCTGGAGCTGCATGCAAAACACAACCGTGCAATCAAGTCCAGACGCAAAGCGATGACGTTGGAAAGTCGCAGCGACTCAAAGTTGCCATTTGCCAAATTCATGAATGTACACTGGCTCTAGGCATTTCGGAATTATGACATCCTATTGTTGTGTCCTTCAGGTCCTGGATGGACTCAACCATCCACACGGCCTCTTTGGCCACCTTCCTGCCCTACTTCGCGAACCGCACCACGGCTTTCTCCATGTGCGCGGCCCTGAACTGCGGGGAGCCCACGCCCTTCATCGACGGGCCCATGAAGTTCCGCTACGACCAGGCTTGCCATCTCCGAACAGCACGAACATGGAAAAATCGATAAAACATAATATGCTACTTGGCCAAGGGCGAAGGCGTTTCTGTGAGGCGGGCTTAACCATTAGTCTGCTGAAACCTGAATCAATCTGAATCAATTTCCAACTGGGAATGCCGGGATCCGAAGTGAACCCTGGCGAGTTCCGCCTTGTGCGCTGGTTGCGAATGTTTCGGGATGTAGGTGGCGACCGCTCAAGCAGATCCTGCGCAGCCGCGGGTCTACTCCATGTGGTCCACGCCTCCCACAGAGGAGTGCCATCACTGGACGTTGCCCCTCTTCCTGAGCTCGGGCTCCAAGGAGCACAGGCGCAAGAGAGTTGGGTGAAAGACGCAAGACAGAGAATGCAGGAAGGGAACCCTAGTCTCACATCTCACGGGTTTGAGATGGCGCCCCTAGGCAGTGGCGCATGTTGCTGGATGAGGCGGGCTTCGAGACCATGCACACCCAGGACTTGACTGAGGCAGCCACGCTGCTCGATGCTGCGTGGTTGGAGAAGCTGCGTCATGCTCTCGGAATGAAGTCGCTCCTCCCGGCGCCCACAGAGTTGGAGGTGGGAAGGATCGTGGTCCAACTGGTCTTCGAGGGCATTTGGCGTAAGAAGATGTCCTTCAATGAGGCCTACGCTATCACGCCCTACCTGGAGTTCGGGAAGATGTGCATCTTCGGAAAGCGCGGCAAGCACATGGGCCTCGTACAGCCCTTGGCTTTGGCCGGGATCAAGCGAGTGGCGCTCGCCTTCGCTCGTGACTCCCCCACGGCCGAAAAGCTCCTTGCCAGGAGCCAGCAAGAGGCAATAGAATTCAATAGAAGGCAACTTTCGGCAACTTTCGGCAACTTTAGTCAACTCATTCCGACAATTCAAACTCCCGTTCGGATTCAGCTTGCCATCCGGCCCGAAGGCGTGGCTTGAAACCAGATGGCTCAGGGTGATCGCCCAAGCTGGTTCTGTTTGCATGTTGGAACAAGTTGGAACAGTGTGCATCGGTGACTGGGTGACTGGGACTCCCAGGCTCTTCAAGCTCATCCAGCTCCCCAAGTACTCCAATCTAAAGACCTTGCTGGAGTCCTCAAAAAAGCCGCTGAATGACATCCTTTTGCAAGACGTAATGGACGCGTCGCATCTCGGCATATCGGCAGTTTTGGTGAAAGATGTGCGAGGCTCAAAGTTGCACGAGTTTGATGTTCTCAATGTGCTCTGAAGGCTCTTCGCCGGTGTCTTGGGCACCACAGACCTTGCCACAAAGTGCGTGAAGTCCCAGTTCAAGGTACGGCCCATGGCAATCTAGTCGGTCCGTGATCTATGAGATTCTGTGAGCCCAGGATGGAAATCATGTGACGATGTTCCGGAAGGATGCCAGTGCCTACTTGCACGAGCTCATGCGAACAGATGCGGCCGTGGGTCAATTCACCACCGCTCTGACGAAGGATGAAACCTGGAATCTGGAAGGCCACAAGGCCGGAAACGTCCCATGTGCACACATGTGCTCACACGTGTGCTCACACATTTCTCACATTTCTCGCATTCCGGTCAGGTGCCATTCCCAGCGGATCAGGCTGTGACCATGAGCTTAGTCACTGCCAACAGAGCCTTGGCCGGATTTCGGCAGTGCGGACCAAGTCGGCGGCAATGTTCTCGAATGCCCTCGGCCTCATTCCATTCGTTACTCGCGTGTCAAAGTGCGGGTCTCAGGAGATCCCCGCGTTTTCCCGGATCCTGATGTGTTTGACCCTGATCGCGAAGAGCTTGGTGAGATGCTAACCTGGAATGGGAAGCTGAAGCGCCTTGTCCGATTGGGTGGGTATGGCATATATGTGCACACTCTGAAGTTTTCATGCTCTCACCAGCAACCGTCTTGGAGGAAAGTGGTTGTGCCAGGCACGTTATGGCGCGGAACTACACCGGAGCACCGCGCTTTTGCCCTGGCTACCACTTGTCCATGAAGGTGGCAAAAGATGTATGTGCACAGATGACGAAGGCGCGTCGTCAGGCTGTCTGGCTGGCGATCTGACGCTCACCTGTCTTTGATGTAAGGCTGTGTGAATGGTCTGCGACCCGAAACCATGTTCGTGTTCCTCCCATGAAACTGAGAGGTTCCGTCACCGGGTTCATTGCAACGACCATGGCAGTTCGCCATGCAAGATCAGAGATATCAGAGCGATAGAGCGGGCCAGGACTTGAGTGCCTGGGGCGGCGATGCTGGCGAGCACAAGAAGATCGAGGGTCTTGTGAAGATCAAGCCACTCGGAACTTTTCCGCGAAGTAAGGCGCTTCACTGAAATCTTCGAGATGTGCACTGACCCCATTGCAACATTGTGAACAGTCTAGCAACTGTGTTGCCAACTCTTTCACCGGAAGCTTGGCTTGCTATCGTGCCCATTTCCTTTCTGCAAGCATGCGTGGAGTATCATTTGAGCTCTGGCACCTCGTAAGATCCAGTTCATGGCACTCCTCCAAGTTTGTTCCTTTCCTTTCTTACCCTTGGCTGGCCTAAGCGCATCAACGGTGGTGTGCATGGCACGCACAAGCGGCCAAGGGCTGCTGGCTATCATGGGAAGGAAGCTTCCGTGGCCTACTACGACTTCCACAAGGAGAAGCACTGTGTCACGGACAAGCATCACCATGATGAGTACATCGGCTGCTTTGCTGCTGAGGAGATGCCAGCTCTGTTGAGTTGGCTGTGCTTTGCTTGTGCTTCGCTTGGGCACGTGCATTGACAATGAACTGAACCTAAGCCATTGCTTGGGGCAGAAAAGACACCCAGAGATGAGGCATGCGCTAGATCTGGAAAAGGCCAAGTGATTGGAGCGTTCGACCCTATGCCCTGGAGGATTTGGAGGTGCTGGATCCCAACGGCGGCCGTCCCAAAACGTTAGAGGAGGAGTACAACATGTGCCCAGCGCTGGTACCCGCCATGATGCAGATGATGCTGCACGTGCTGGCCCAGCAGGTGGAAACGCAGTCCACCGTAGGTTGGATCATCAGCCGCTTGTTGGGCAAGCAGCCGACGTCGGAGAACTTCCACCGGGACTGGTCTGATGACTTCACCATGGGCTTGTACGCTGGCATCAACTTGATCGCTATGCCGATGTACGCCTCCCGCCACTCTGACTCTGTCTTCATCCCTCGCCGCAAGGGCAGCGTGGAGGTCTTCTCCGTGGGCAGCGTGGCGGCACCAGATGTGGACATTGACCATCCCAAGTTCGTGCCCGTGGAGTGGTACTCGGCCAAGAGCTTTGCAAGTCTGAGCTTTGTCTTTGTTCGCTTGAAGGATCTGGTCTTTCGCTGACTGTCCGACAGGTGTCGGAGTGTGCAGGTACATCCCCCAGCCGCTGCTGGACTATGGCATGCTGCCCGGCATGACCTGCTTCCACGGCTTCCTGCGGCAGCTGCCCTGGGACGACATGCTGGAGGACGAGCGCAACACCTGGGACCTGGTTATGAACCTCAGTCAGCGGTCCTACCTCAGGAAGGAGGAGTGGGTTATGAGCTTTTACAAGGGCTACAAGACCCATGACGGCAAAGACAACTGGCCCGAGAGGGAGGTGGACTTTGCAAAGATGCCCCTCAGCATCCGGAATCCAGGCTTCTAGTTGAGTCAGATCTATTTGCAGGGATCCAAAGTCAATAAATAAATGATGTGCCAGTCTGAGCAGCATTGGTGTCCAAGCTGGCGCGTGCCTAGATTCTAGGTGAGTGGCTCTAAGCACCTCCGTTCCTCTTGATCAGCCTCATGACGTCATGACGTGTTCCGTTCGAGAACAAGAAGCATCAAGCAATTTGCAACGGTCAATCGATATATGCTTGAAATGCAAATGGATGAGACAATGTGAGTGACCTCAAGACATGTAAGATGTCCTAAGAGCCCAGGTACTGGAAGCGCGATGAGTGGGATGACGGTCTAGAGAAGGCGATCGCCTTTGGACTCATCGGGTCCCATCGCCTGGAGCACTTGAATCCACCCGTGGACTTCGGGGGGGAGAGCTTGCCGTTTGTGATCCGCCTCAACAAGCTGCCGGGCTGCGGGCAAACCCTGAGCTAAGTTACCGGACTGACCCGAACTGAGACCCAAGCCGGCTGGCACGACAACAACTAGAAGCGTAGAAACAGACTGAAACAGCTAGTGGTCTGCCTGTGTTCTGCCTGCTCTGGCAGCGCTTCGTCATGGTCAAAGCGCTACGTGAGGATTGCGCGATTGACAGGACATGTTTTTTGGTGTCATGGGCTGCACGGTTTCTTTGCCGGCATTGGCCTGAATCATTCCGTGCTGAGGTTCCGTGGGCTTCCAGTGAGGAAGGGCTTCGGCAAGTATGAGGGCGACCTGCACTTCACCAAAGTGGCTGGCCGGATATGTGAGAGGGAGTCGCCATTCAAGAAATGCATTGGGACAGAATGATGAAGAAAAGAAGTCCTGAGGTGTGTCAGCATTCCCACGGACCTAAGGATGGCTACCCGGCCATGATGGAGCTGGCTGATGGCACGCGGGTTGCGCGTGGGGACAAGGACTGGCAGTACTGGAAGTTTGCCTGGAGGCTTGGGACTTGGATACCAATCCTAATCAGTTCCAATTTGAGACATGTATAGACATGTAGGGCTTCGCATGGCTCAGGTGCTCACTAATCACGGTCATCACGCTGACGGACCACCTACACATGACTCACTTCCGATCAGGCAATGTGCTGGCCACTGCGACCCGCAAGACACTCTCGCCGAACCATCCTCTCAGACGGTTGCTTTCGGTGTTTACCTTTGGGACCATTTTCATCAATCTGCAGGCGGGGATTTGCACGAGTGCGAACAAAACTAGGCTATGAAGCACCCTCTGCCAGATACCGTGAGTACCGCAGGGGCAACCCCAGACTTAATGGGGATCTTGCGTCCAAATCTGTTTGATCGCAAGGCTATGCACACGCTCATCGGCCCCCGGCACGTCTTGCACCGGTCCACGCCCTTTGTGCAGTTCGAAGACCTCAGCGACGCCGTGCCCAAGAATCTGCTGCCCTTGAATCTTGACCACAGAAGTCAGTACTTCATGTCTTCAGTCTAGGGGCCCTTTCTGGTTGTGCCAGCCAGGAGGGTTGGCCGTGCTAAGATGCTGTTCAGGCCTATCTTGGTTTTGGACGGCTCTCTTATGGAACCTTGGTTGCTGAGCCTTGTTCTTTGTTTGAATTCACTGGTTTCCGCAGACGGCCCTTCGTGCGTCAGCGCCTTGAACGTGACAAGCTCACGGCACGCCACATTTGATTCTGATAGTCGGTCGCCTCAGGACAGAAAAGCACAAGGCACTCCTCCGAGAAGAGGAGTGGAATAAGCTGCCTGCGAAGGTACAAGAAACTCCTTACTATGCGGACGGCAAGCTCTTGTTCAATGCAGAGAGGCCGGACGTTTCCATAGGTCCTGAAGATTCCTGAAGATTCACCTATGGATTCTTGAAGTGGCCGAAGCTGTGGCAAGAAATCGTTGGATGTGCCGCAGGCAGCTCCTCAAGGAGTTCAGGGAGCTCTACAGCTACGGCCGCCTGGGCTTCTGCGACAAGCAGGACCAGGTCACCGGACCCGAGGCCAGGAATTCGATAAATTCGACTCGCGATTCGCTCGGGTTTCCCGGCTCCAGGAATTCCCCTTTCGACTGTTTTTGAATAGAATCCGTTGTATGGGCGCTTGAAAAGACGTCAATCCCATAGTAAGACACGGGAAAACGTGTCCCATTGGGAAGGGCAAGCAGTTTCCTGGATGGTTCCCGGCGCCAGTGAAAGTCGCCAACATGGATGTCACACCTGTCAGCTGCGGAGCTTGCTGAACGAGCTGGTGGCTGAGAACTCGCGGTCTCACTATGCCAGCTCCCTGAACTCCAACGCCACCTGCACCCAGTTTTTTGAGGAGATCCTCATGTCCTACGTTTGGACAGCCACTTGGGACAGCACTAGACCGGGAAATACGGACCGCGTCGGTGTTGTGGGCAAAAGGGAATCCGAGAGGCAGTTCTTAGTGTGCTTTGAAAGGGCTCCCTACTCGAGAAGCTGAGGTGACAGGATGGCATCGTCACGTCGGCACTGTGGGCGCCGCGGCTGGCGAATGCTCGCAAGGGCCTGCGAAGGCTTCGGTTTCGGACAGTGAAGGTATTCGTGTCTTCAGGGGAGGGTCACCTCGTTACATTCCGTGCGTCAGAGTGTGACGTTAAGAAGCTGGAACAAAAGTTGCCAGCTGTACCCCTTAAAGAAGCCTTTTTTCTCAGAGAAAACTGACATTTGCCCAGCCAAGGTGATTACTACAGGGATCCGGAGCTTGCATCCTTCAGCTGGCGCGAGGGTGAGCGCTCTGCGAGGCCCTTGCAGCACATGCAGCGCCGCGGATGCAGCTGATGCTGCCTGTTGTCTGGCACCTGGCACCTGACACCTTGCCACGTCTTGACAAAGCCAAAGTGACCAATCATGTTTATCGCCGCAGTTTGTCGCGCACACTCGCCAGAACAGTGTAAAGTCCTCTTGGGAAGTACTTGAACTTGAGGATGACCACAGTGGCAGTATTTACCTCGGCTTTGCAGCCGAAGCTCATTGAGGACTACAGCGGCTTGGCTGCCGCGTATTGGTCGAAGTTGGGGGGAAGGAATGGAAGCCGTCTCTTGAAGGTATCACCAGGCCCTTGGTAGCTGTGACCACCTTCCCCTTTTCACAGGGACAGATGGGATTTCTTTTTGCCAAGGCCATGTTTTCCAGGGAGTTCACAAGGAAGAGCAGATGTTGCAGATCTTGGACCGCTTCAAATCGCAACTGCACAAAATCTCGGAAGAGGTGGAGAAGCGTAATCAGAAGCGCATCCACGACCCAGACATGGGTTTTAAGAACATTCATGCTGATCCCAAGATCGTTGAATGCTCGGTGGCTGTTTGATTTTGCGCGCAGAGCTGCATTGGCATCTCTCGCTTGGAATTTATGCGCACAATGCGCTTGGTCGCTACTTGTATCTTCCGAACAGTGGTTTAAGACTGAGCTGGACCTGTGGTAAAGCGCTTGCTTTCCGCCCTGTGTGTCTCATCCCCCCGTTTTGTTGCAAACTTGAGGGCCATTTCACATTCACTTGCATTGCCCAGTTTTGATGCATGCTCAGCCGTGTCTTATTTCAGTTCCTTCGGGCAAATGATGAGCGCCAGGGTCCACAGAAAGCTCAGCTTTTCGATCCGTCTGGGTGAGCATCGATTTGCAAAAAGGTGTGCCCAGCAGCCCGATGCGCCGGAGGTCGCACGAAGAAGTTCCGAAAACCCAGGATGTGGAACATTTGGAGCATGTGGAGACTTGCCAGGCACTTGGTCTCCCCTACTACGCCTTTTACCTGCTTCCTGCTCGTTTCTGGGAGCTTGCAGCGGGCGTCATGCTCTTCCTTTTCTGCTGCCTGGCTGGATGGGACGGATAGGGCGGATGGATTGACATGGCACCAGGTTCCAAGCGGATGAATATCATCTCCAACATGCTGACACATCAGCGCGCGCTGCTGTGGTTGCTTGAGCTTTGGACCCTCTTCCTTTTCTTGCACCTCGTCTGAGAGTCTGGGAGTGTACCCAAAGCAGTTTATTGACAGAGGCACTGTGATCAATCTCCCATTGATGATTTTGGTGCCACACCCCTGGCAAGGCATTGGTTCCGAAAGGCCAGTCCCTTTTGGAGATGGCAAGCTCAGTCCTCTGTCGTGTTGCCAAGCTGCTCGGTGCTGGCTCTCTCGCCATCAGCCTGGTGCATCCCGTAAAGTTCCCTTGGATGGGCAGCCGACTTCACAACAGATGCCAACAAGAGGTCCATCGCAGGATGAAATCAAGCAGCATTCAGTATTGAGAATGTCTACATTGCAGGCGAACACCGGGGTGCAAATTCTGAGGATTCTAGGCAGCTGAAGAATAAGCACTGAGCATGCCTACAACATTGCAGGGGGGCTGTACCACAAAAGAAGCCAGAACTTAGCATGTCTACATTATGAAGGCACGCATCCGAGCTTGGCAGCAGTAGTTGATCTTAAAAAAGCACCATGAAGCACAACCTGACAAAATGCAAACAACAAGTCAGTGGAGTGGGTTGATTTCGGCCGATTTCGGCTAAGACGGATGGTGCCAACATTTGTCGCAGGTTGAGGCGCCTGGCTCACATTTCAGGAAGCAACGGAGAGGCGCTAACTCGACATTTTTCACAATCAAAAGCTTTGCAGCGTCAGAGCACAGCGTTGCAGGATGTTGCAGGTTTCGCATCATTATTCTAGGTGAATCTCACGCACAAAGGTTAGCAAGGCCTGATTCGAGCCAAATGTCGCAAGTGCTTTTTTTTGCTCCATGCGGCCATTCGCGATCACGCAGGTCCGCAGTCTTTTTTTACTCCGCGACCATTCGCGATCACGCAGGTCTGCAGTTTCAGCGTCAAGATACGAGATGGAAAAAATAGCCGAGGAATCGCAAATCAACAGCGGGAGAAAAACGACCAAAATAGAAACAACAAACGCGACAAAACAACCACACAATTCCTCGGCTCATGTGACCAATACCCTCAATTTTATATGCTTTTCGGTTTGGGCGTAAGAGTGCACCAGCTGCGGGGGAGTTCGTTTTGACCGACTTGGGCATCTGATTCGCTCGCATCGCTCAGGGTGGCGCTGACAGTGAAGTTTGAAGAGAAGAACTTCCCGCTGCCAGGGGCACTGATGCCCGCCCCCCGCCGATTTCAGCAGAAACGCCATGAAACGCCGTCTGGATGCGGAAACTAAGCAAGGCGTTTTGCCCCTCATTCGGACAGTTTTTTTTTTTTTTTTTTTCCGGTGATGCAGCTTCACTTGGTTGTGCCGCGTCAAGCCTTGAGTGGAAGTATTTCATCAGCTACTGTTGATTTGGCCTCAGGTGCTGGGCACGATGTGCTTCATCCTGTGTGGATTTGCGCCGTTTGCGCACTTCAACGCACTGCTTAGCTTCTCTCCCATCGTCTATATTGGATTCCTGGATGCAGAAAGCATGTTTGGAAACCCAGCCTCAGATGTTCAATTTGGCTGCACAAGGCAGGATATCGTACTGCATCTATTTGTGACTTGGCTTACTTGTAGCGCAATGCTAACGGACACCATTCGCAGCAGGGCGGTGTGCTCATCCGACAAACGTTGTTTGCTTTCACACCTCAGGTGGCATGTTCCTGTCTTGGCTCTTTGTCGATGGCTTACCCTCGGCTCCTCGGGCCAGCATTCATAATGTGTCGATGCCGGGATGGCACGGGTCACTTTGCCTTTTGCTTTGTTCCAATGAAGCAGTTGAGCGTTTTAAGACGTCGCGGCCCAGCCGGCACCCGCTCAGGATCTGAAATGCCCACCTCGTTGCGGCTCTTCTCGTTGATACCAACGTTCATCCTCTCCATCGCGACGCATCACATCATTGAGACTCCCTTGCGAAAGTTGAGCCTTGGCTTTTCCAAAAGTTGTCAGGAAGAAGCCGCAGTTTAGAAGGGACTATTCAGGCAATACAAGATGGGAGGGTTTGGGACACACGGCCTGAGCCGCTACAGTGCCAGGGACGTGCAGACTGGAGCAGCGCTGCTATGCGGATTTTTGGCATCTGTAGCGGCCGCGCTGCTCTTGTGCCTGGACACAAAGCTGCCGAGAGGTCAGGCCTGAAGAATTCACCCTGTTGCACTTGAGAGATGCGTTGGACAGTTGGAACTTTCTTTGGGTCATTGTAAAGCAAGTCGATGTCACGCTGGCAGGTCATGAGGCGCAGTTGAATCGGCTTTGTTGGTCCTCCAATTCAAGTCGCTGTCTTTTAGAAGAAGGCTTTTGCGGACCGATCCAAGGACTCTGCTGGTAGTGATTCGGCACATCGCAGGCAACAGTGCTCCGGCTTCACACCTGGAGATGCCTTGAACGCAGTTTGGGCGCGTGTGGTCGTAGGGCAAACCATGCGATGTCTTTTGTTGAGCGCGAACAAGGCACGACAACGCGAGAGTCGAGAAGCTAAGGCTACTTTGTTTGGCTCGGTTGCACCGCGCTGCTTCTGCTGGTGCTGCTTTTCGTGCTCTTTGCGTGTCAACGCGAGGAGCGACCAGGTACCAGAGGCCAGACCCTCAGTTGGGTCATTGCGGCTCATTTCTGCTAGGCGTATGGCAGCAGCGGTGCGCAACAGACAGGTGCAGAGGAAATGCCCTGTCAGAATATTGAATAGCGAGGCTGCCGTTCGTGACACTCCCGGTTCTTGTTGCCACTATTTGCATGGCGAGCGCAGTGATTGTGAAAGGTGCAAAAACTGTGGATGGAGAAGTCCTCACCACATCTCATGTCACGGGCGGTGCTCTTGCTGGATGCTTGCAAACGCATTGTTCACCCGCGTCATGGCGTGTTCACACCGCATGGTTTCTTATAGTCAGACGCCTGGAAGACTAAGATTCTGCAACAGGCACAACATTGCTGTGGAATAGCAGTATGCCAGTGCTGTCAGTGGCTGTCATGGAATTTTGCTCAGCTATTTGTGGCGAGTCCTGCTCAAGTTTGACCCGTCGATTCCCAAAAGATACACGGTGACCCTAAGGCAACCCTTGGATCTTCGGTTCGAAGAGTATGCAAGGTCGGTCAATCCTTTGTTTGCACACTGTTTGGGACTGTTTGCTGGCAGTGAATTTGCTTTACAATCCCTCTTGCCTAAATACTATGTGAGAAAAGAAAGAGATGTCACTTGAGGCAAGGCTAGAAGATGGATGTTCTCAGGTCAATTCCTCTTTGCCTGCGTCCTTGTGTGTTCGGCCTTTGGCTTGACGCTCTCTGGCTGCACGAAGGTTGTTGTGAGGGGAGAAGCTCAGAGACCATGGCCTTGTCAGGGTTCGTGAGGGGACTATCTCGCCCCAAGAGCAGCTGTGTCTTTGCAATGTTTGCTATGAGAGGATGTGGCAGCCCCTGTTTCGACAGGTCGAGAAACGTGGTTTGAGAAGAATCGGAACTTAAGTCTCAATTTGCCTTGATGGCATTAACGGGGTGCCACTTAATGATTGCGAAGCGTCGTTTCCAAAGCGTTGACGTGCTAGGTACAACATCTACCACGATAACATGGGATTGAACAGAGCGCAGCAGGTCATTGTCAATCCTCGGGCCGCCCGTTTGCACACGAGCACTTTGTGGGCGCTGGAGAATCCAACAGAAAGCATTGCTTGGTGTGTATGCTTGGAGTGTCCAAGTGTGCCTCGAAAGCCAATGCCATGCCCGGAGATTTCTTGTTTAGTTTTTGCTGGGAGTTCCCACATGATAGGGTTTCTTAGAGCGTGCCTCCGTGAAAGAAAGGTGACTCTCTCTCTCTCTCTCTGTGTTTGTGTGTCTGTGTGTCTGTGTGTCTGTATGTCTGTGTGTTTGTGCTTGTGTTTGTGTTGGTGCTTGTGTTTGTGTTTGTGCTTGTGCTTGTGTTTGTGCTTGTGTTTTCTGTTTGTGTGTGTGTGTTTGTGCGTGCGTGCGTGCGTGCGTGCGTGTGTGTGTGTGTGTGCGGAGTGACAGAATACCCTGTCACCACCTTGGGCCGTTTTCGGAAGCAGGGGGCACGGCAGCTCATTCTCTAGCCGTGCCAACGAAGCTGTGAGAATGAGCCGGAAGGGAGTTTGGACGCAAACTCCTGTACCTGCAAGTGATTCTGAAAGTCCTTTTGGCTCCCTTGGTTGCGGCGCTGTGTGTGCTTCTTGCTCTTTCGGGTAACGTGTTCGCTGCTAGACGGAAGCCAAGTGACTGCAAGCCGAACCCACTCGAGACTCATCAGTTGTACTCGAGACTCATCAGTTGTACTCGAAAGATTAGCACTCTCCATTTGGAGTTCAAGTGTGTACACCCCATTCGTGGGGAATCCCCATTGTGTGACCCCGGGCCGGCTCTGTCGGAAAATTTGACCTCAACGTGCTTATCATAGCGGTTGAAGCCTTTCTTGCTTGATTTGACCTTGCTGTGTGTTCAGTTGCCATGCAGTTGTCAGTCGAGTTTGTGAACAACCTGGTGGGCGGTATTAAATGTCCTTGCGTCCCAAGCCTTACTACGTTGGTGCTTTCCATTCGTTGGATTTGTTGCTCTC